CAATTCTCTAATTAAGAAAGGATGAGGGCCCTTGGGTTAAATTTCAGTTAAGAATTTCCCCGCCCCACTAACTCCATTTGAAGTATCCATTCTGTCTTTCAAAAGAATAGAAGGCAACTATTGTTTAATAAACATCAGTGAAGCAATAAAAAAGGCACATAACAAAAGCATCCCCGGGAGAGGGGGGTTATCACCCTCTATTCCTACCTAGATTGAGGGAGCACAGTGATATCACCAAGTATTTTCCAAACTTGCCTGATCAAAGCATCACAAATGGTGGACATTGATTCACAAACTCTTTACTTAGAGATTGAGATTCAGGACATCTGTGGGGACATGGGGTCAAGGGGATGGTAGAAGACTGAAACCTATAACTTTACCAAGTGCTTTTTGTGTGTCTTAAGAATGGGCAAGTTTGCAGAACGCTGATATGATCAATGAAGAACTCATTGGTGGCTCTTCTCAGAGACACCACGCCTTATCAGGGTTTAGTAATTCCTAATCTAACCGGTTAATCACTGCAGTGACATTTTTGTCTAGTGGCTTTCTAATGAAGCATACTGAACTTGCCAAGGACAGAGTAAAGTATTTTTTCGCATGAGTTAGAAAACCAGAAAGAGTTGAGTACAAGATATTAATCAAACATGGGGTGTGTGTGTGTGTGTGTCGTTCCAAGTTTCTAGTGGACTTTGGTAAACATTTTTTTGACATACCAATGTCCTCATCTGCAAAATTGGGCTAATAATGCCAACTTCAGAGGGTTTCCATGAGGACTGAAGGGAAGAGCATCTGTAAACCACTTAGCACAGTGCTTGGCACGTAGTAAGCGTTTCATGAAAACTTACTATCGCTATTGTCAGTTATATACACTAGGATTTAAATCTTTATGATCAAATGATATTACGACTAAAAGTTTGCCTTAAGTTTTCATACTTTTTATAAGTTATATCTTCAGAGAACTTAGTTCTGTGCCATCACATGCGATTTTACCCAAATGGAATTTTTCTAGAATGCCTAAAACTGCTTTATTATTTCATAATTCTCAGAGCTACAAATCCTGCAGATGTCTTGTTTGATCTGTACATTTGAAAAAAACGAATCAGTTCTAACATTCGCGCATCTAGAGATTACACAAAAATCTAGATTTCCAGGTTTTCTGAGGAAAACGAGACATTTAAGCACATGGGCCCTTTGTTCTCCTGTTGGAGAACCTGCTGGCGTCGAGTAGGGCTGCCCCTTTGAATGGGGCACACATGCTCTTGCCTGTCCCCTAATTTATACGACTCACCTGGCCCTTGTAGGCATCTGAGTTTGTCATCTCTGCACCCAGGATGGTGTCTTATTTTCTCATATATCTGCGGATCGTCAGCTCTCAGACTGGGTAGTAGGTCATGAGTGGACAAATGGGAAAAACAGCAACTTAACTGTCCTTCACACCAACAGACTGTTTCAGCCTGTCAAGCCTGCAAACTCCCAGCCGAATATGCATGGGTCCCGGTTTCCATGACGCCCCCAAAGCTCCTGAACACAGTCTGTCCCCAGCCGGGCACCCAAGGTCAACTTCCACTCCTGTCCAATTCCACCTTCCTTTGCCAGCCCTGTTTGACTCTGCTCCAGCTGACCCAGCTGCATCCCACACCACTCTGCAAACCTGCCTTACGTTGCCCCACTCGGGGCCTCTGCCCTCCTTCTGCACCCCTTCCGCAAAAGGCTACCCGTCTTTCGAATCCACCTTGATAGTCCTTGCTTTGTAAGTAAGAATGACAGTATCCTGTAAGGCCTAAGCACGTGCCCTAATTCTGCCCCTGGGCGTGCAGGTCTCTGCCCCCTCCCCCCCCCCCCCCAGCACTCCCCAGCAGAAACCATGTCACCGTCATCATAGTATCACCGAGACGGAGTTCCTGACATATTGCAAGGTATGCTCTCAATATTTTTTTTTTTATAGATAATCTTTTTTTTTTTTATTTTTTTTTTCAACGTTTATTTATTTTTGGGACAGAGAGAGACAGAGCATGAACGGGGGAGGGGCAGAGAGAGAGGGAGACACAGAATCGGAAACAGGCTCCAGGCTCTGAGCCATCCGCCCAGAGCCCGACGCGGGGCTTGAACTCACGGACCGCGAGATGGTGACCTGGCTGAAGTCGGACGCTTAACCGACTGCGCCACCCAGGCGCCCCTGCTCTCAATATTTAAATACAGGAACACATTTCCATTTTAAGGAGGAAATGCTTCTAATTAATAGTCTGCTTCCTCATCCTACTACAACATGAAACCTTATTTTTCATCAAATAGTGCGTTTCAGCCCTCCTGATAAAGCTCAACCGAACATTAGCCTTTATCGTATCATTTACCTAGTGTCTGAGAGTATTAATTCTTTAACTGAGAAATGGGGATAATACAACCTCTAGTGTGGTGAGAAGGATTCAGTGAGTTAGTTGCAGAGAAAGTGCTTAGCGCAGCAAACATGAAGGGCGTGGCTATTATCATTACTATGTAGAAACCCACCTAGTTTTTAGAAGCCAGTTTAGAAGTGTCTTCCTTCATTCTATTTTTCTAAAATACTTCTTAGGAGAAAGCAGGTGGAAGATTATAGTTTGTGTGCCTGGCTAAAGAAATGCATTTTGCTCAATAAAATAAAGCAAAGTAAAAGGTTATTTAAAATATCAGTGGTTCAGGCAATAGTAGCTTTCTTCAAAGTATGCTTCTGTAGCCACCACGGTGATGCTTGATTCAGGAAAAAGATCACCAATCAGTGTGCAAACTGGTGGGCAAAAGTGTGTTGAACAGGATATTGATAGTCTCACAATTTCAACCCAGAGAGTATTTATTAATCCCAAAGAGAGAAAGCTCCTTTTCCATTGGAGAAATTTGGTGGATGTCACTTAAACTAAGTGGTCAAAATTACCATCGCAAAAGCAAAACCATAACTCACATGCAATATGATTTATAAAAGCCAAAAATAAAAACAAAAACAAAAAAATAGAAATAAAAAAATTACCATCACCATTATGGGTCAGATAGACCCTTCTGAAGTGATGTAATAAGGAGATAACATCACCTACATAATATACTTGCAAAAAAAAAAAATTAACCTGACTCTACCAATGAGAGACCAACCAGAGAAATCCAGAGACATTAATAAATATAGCACATAGGCCTTGATCAGATCCTCTTTAGGAAAAATGAGCACAGCCACAAAGATCCTTATCGGGATGACCAGTGACGTTTGGATACACACTGCAGATTAGATAATAAAAACAGGGCAAAAGGCAACTGTGACTCAATTATATTTTCAATGACCAGCTCTTTCCTGAAGATTCCGGGAATCTGTTATAAAGCCTTGCAGTGTGAAAATTACATGTGATATAGGTTTGCTGCATTGGACTGGATTAGAGGATTAGAGTTTTTGTAGAAAGAATGTGCTTCTGGGTTGCAGTTGTATAAATGGGTATAAGAACTCAGCAAAGAAGAATGTAGATGCTAATCATGCCCACCATGCAGTGCAGTGTTTGTGGGTTGTCTACGAACTGCACAGAGTGTGCTGGGGAAAAGTTCCCGGATGACAACCAGTGGGACAAAGTCCCAAAGCAGGGCGCTTGCTTTATTTCGAGCTTGCAGGACATGTTGCCTAATGAGAATGGATTGCTGGGAAAATCAGAGTGCGATTTCATTGTCCTTTTGGTACGGCAGCGGGGATGAGCAGGCAGCCGGCGGGAGCGTCCCTGGCTGTCTGGCGTGAGCCAGTGCCGTATTAGCCTCAAATACGGGGAAATCAACCAACCATGTGCAAGACTGGCTGGCAGTCATTAGAGACATCCAGTGTTTGGGCCTCTGTGTTTCAGGGGGGATAGGAGCATTAACAGCTTACTTTTTAGTTTCAGAAGCCAGAGATGTTTTCATTACTGGTATCCTCAGGCATAGACTTTTTAATTTAAAAAAAAGAAAGTTCAGGATGGAAATCGCCTATCACTACAGGAATGTCTTTGCAGCAGAAACACATGATGGTTTACCTGTCAATCTCACCATCGTGCCGGCTTTATTGTGTCTGGAATGAGGAAGCAGCAGCAGGGAAGACAGGTGAGGCGGGGTACACAGAGGGGCCTCTGGAATCGCTAATACCTCAGAAAAGCTGAAGGCTTAATTCCAAAGTGGTTTTGAGACTTCAGGTTTCTTACCTCTTGGGGCTAATAAGAAAGCGACCATTCGGCTTAGAACTTCCCTACTTCCTCCAAAGTCATAATGTCCCACTTTTTGGATTTTTTTGGACAGGTGTTATGGTAGATTCAAGTTGGCTACAAATTCTTTTGTCACTCTCCCCAGCAGGGGGTAGATTTTATCTCCACCCCACCCCCCACCCCCCCCCCCCTTGAATCTGGGCTCTCTGTTGAGCCAAGAGACTGTGCAGAGGTGCACTGAGCAATTCCAGGCCTGGCCTTTCAGAGCACTGAGGCTTCCGCTTCCTCCCTCTTAGAACACTTTTGCCAGCAGCAGGGGACCCTCCCTCTTAGACCCCAGCTCCCATGCTGGGACGGGGTCAAGCACATGGCACGGAGGTCCTGAGCCAGTATGGACTGGCAACTCATGGGAAAGCCACGTAGGACAGACATTTCAGCCCAATCTTGCCCCTTGACACCCTCGTCACCCCCTGCCGCAGAAGCGGGCCAGCAAAGGGTAGGCTGCTCAAGTGACAGAGAATAAGATGTTGCCTTAAGCTGCAAGCTTTCGGCGTGGTTTGCCCTGCAGCAACAGATACCTCAAATTTATAAACGAAAAGTTTCACGAGAAGGAAGATCATCTTGCTAACAAAGCACAGGTCAGAACACTTGCCGGGTGGGAACAGAACTGTTTTGAACACACGATAACATCCTTTATCTTTTAGTGGCTTTGACCTCAAAACCAGCCTCAGCTGATGTCTTCTGGTGTCCAACACAGAAAATTCAGAAAAAGAAAAATCTCATTCAATTACAGCTTCATCCTGACATGCGCGTTTCACACAGACCTTATTTTTTAAACAGAGTTTATTGTATTTAATACATTATAAAATTTGAAAAATTGTAGGAAAGCAGCAGACTCAAACTGGAGCAAGTCTAACAAGTAATAATTCTGGCCCCTTTGCAAAACTGATCAGTTTAAAAACAAAGTCATGTTCACATCTGTGAGGCGGGCAAAGAAGTGTGATTTCTGTACAAACTACATTTAAAATTTCATGTCTAATGTCTTTCGAATGCAGTGTGCTCATGAAGAGTTTTTCTGAAGTCCTGCCCGTCCCGCCTAAACAGAGGACAGGAAACCTCCATCCTGCAAATAAACTCTATTCAAGGTGTTTTTTTTTTTTGTTTTTCTTTTTTTAAAAAAAAAAAAAGGAAAAAGAAAGACAAAGGAAAAGGAAACAATGGATGGCTGTTGGCAATGAAAACCGTAAGGAGATGCGTCCTCACTGCTCATGGCTTGTTTATCGGTCAGAGGCCTTGGGAGGCCCAGGACACTTCACGGCCATCACAGCACCAACTGTAGCTACCACCTTTTTGAAACTTTTTTTTTTCCTTTTTTTTTGCATTTCCTACCTTTTGACATATATATATATATATTTATATATTTTTTTACACCTTGAGGATATCACTATTCCAATTGTTCCCATATGAATACAGGTGTGGTCTCTATTGGATATCAATGTGTCTGTTTATTCAATTTTAGGTCCAGGACTTGGTTTTGTTGTCCCAGCTGCACATAAATGTCCCTTTTTTGTTTGCGTTATTTGTTGTGTACGTTTTTTGTTTTTGTTTTTTCCTTTTTGCATAAGAAATCTGTCCGTTTAGTCCAGAGGCTCTTGCTTTATCCGGATGACAGAGGGCCCGCGGGGCGTCCGCCTCAGTTCCCGCCGCAGGACGTACTCGCTGAACTGGGACGAGTCCACTCCTCCTCCACAGGAGGCCACGATTTCAAATCCTCTCTGCTGCAACCTCTCGAGGACCTGCACAGGGCCAAGACAAGCATCTGGTTAGGGGGACACAGGTCCTCTGGCCACACAAACAGCCCAAAGAGGTGTCCTGAAGTTTGAGATCTTGTGCAGCCCTGGTCATTCTTACCCACCCCCCGAGTCTCTCTGAGTTTCTGCTTTCAGAGGAAGGCCCTGCACTAAAGGGCAGGAGGGATGGAATGGTTGTGTCCAACACCCAAAATACTCCTTCACATGCTTGCCGCTCACGTGCCGGTTCATTGAATAGTTGCAACCACCTTGCTTATTAATGGGTGGTCAGCCCATTTCATACCCGGGAAAACTGAGGCTCACAGCCTATAAGTGATGGAAGTGGGTTTCCAGCTCAGCTCCATTTGGCCTCAGATGCGACGTTTCTTGTAACATGCAACACTCCCTTCTCTGCAAAAAGAGAGGGTTTACCTTTCCAATCTCATCACTAAAATATCTTCTCTGAGATGATAAATGATATGGCCAGACAAATGATCTGAATCTACTCAGCCAGTGAGTCATTCTCAACCCATTCACTCTCAGCGCCACCACTGCTGAAGTCTGCCTGTACTAACTTCATATATTTCAGTTTGGAAGACGGATGTAATTTCAATGGCAGAACCAATGGACTGCTGAAGACGGTTGAGGTTTATCTACAAGTTTTTGAGTTTGTGGCATTTGAAATAGATTTATTGCCTTGGGTGCATTCAGGGAGGCAAGAGTAATTGCAATGGTTAGATGTTAGAAAACATATCCAAATAAAGATATTCTAAACTTCTCATCTAATAGTAACTTCTCATAAGCTCTTCAGTTTTGAAATCAAATACCTAGTGCCAGAAAGATCCCTGGGTTGGTCACCAACATGTCCGATGGTCTTAAATGTAGGAGACAATTCCTATGCTCTTAGGCAAAAATACAGAAAGTTGATCTACAGCATTGCTTCCTTAGGAATCCAACAAACACTGGACTTGCAAATGTTCCCTGGGATTCTGGCTATAATTAAATTACTTCTACACCACTCTAAAGGCAAGATGACTCAATCATAACTTTAAAAAAATTCTGGGGGCGCCTGGGTGGCGCAGTCGGTTAAGCGTCCGACTTCAGCCAGGTCACGATCTCGCGGTCCGTGAGTTCGAGCCCCGCGTCGGGCTCTGGGCTGATGGCTCGGAGCCTGGAGCCTGTTTCCGATTCTGTGTCTCCCTCTCTCTCTGCCCCTCCCCCGTTCATGCTCTGTCTCTCTCTGTCCCAAAAATAAATAAACGTTGAAAAAAAAAATTTTTAAATGTACTCAACATAAAGCAAACCCTTACTGTTTCTTCTTAAATTATTATTTTTTGGTTGCCTACTTTTATGTGGAATATAATTTGCTATTTTGCAAAAGAGCTCACTAGAGATTAGAAAACAATAGAGTAAACTTTCAGAAAACTACAACTTCTAATGCTGGCCAATTAAAAAAAAAAAAAAAACCAAGGGGCGCCTGGTTGGCTCAGTTGGTTGAACATCTGACTTCAGCTCAGGTCACGATCTCACAGTTCGTGACTTCAAGCCCCATGTCAGGCTCTGTGCTGACAGGGCAGAGCCTGGAGCCTGCTTTGAGTTCTGTGTCTCCCTTTCTCTCTACCCCTGCCCTGCTCACACACACACACTCTCTCTCTCTGTCTCAAAAACAAATAAACATTAAAAAAAAATTTTTTTTTAATAAAAAAAAAAACCCCAAGTCTTTATGAGAACAAAATGAACATTCTAACCTACAGTGCTCTTATTTCTGTAGAAATATCCACAATGCATATGCACACCAGTCAGCAAGGGACAGAACGAAGAAAACAATCCCTATGTTCAAAGTCAAGATGTGCTTTGGTGGTAGTTAAATAAAAAGGTGAGGACCCAAGAGCTAAGACTTCTCCAGCAGAGGCAGGAATGTAGCCTTTCAGCAAGAAAAACCCCAGTCTGCCTGGCCAAACCACTGCACCAGAAAGGATTCTTTGCCTTCACTGGGAGAGGAATTGAAAAGGTAGAAGCTGTGAACAATAAAGAACATAACTCTGATATCGTTTGTCTTGCAGTGATGGAAGGTTGCTAAACTGTTAAATGTGGAAATCCCCAAGCTTCCTCCCTAGGGGGTCTGATACATCTAATATGATAATTATTCCATATGACCCAGTACCTTGAATGTGCTCAAAGCTTATTTCAAAGTAATGCAAACAGCTATGCTCCTTGGCCATTTCTTTTTAAACATCAATTTGTCAATAACAAAATTCCTTAAAGTTAGTGATCACTTGGGAATATTAAATCACTCCAGGGCTGGGCTGGAGGTATCAGGTCTTGTGTGTCTTATCCCAAAACCTGTGAATGCCTAGAGGACGGTGCCTATTTCTTGGTCGGTGGAGCAGGAAGCTGGAGTCATCGATTACGTCGTGGTCGTGTCATGGCTGTGTCACTGATGATGTTAATCCAGATGAAAATGTCCACATCTGATCAGACTTGAATGACTGGGAAACTTGTCAGGCATATGAATTTGTCCCACAGCCTGAGTGGTGGGCTGGGGTTTTGTGTGAGACATGGGGCCCTAGAGAAGCAAATGCTGTCCTGGCCCTGATGGGCACTGCCTCCTCCCTCCATCTGGAGGGGGGCTGGGACAGGGAGCGTTTGTAGGAGGCAAACGGCTTTCAGAGTTTCAATTAACACCGGGCCTTGCGGGTGCACCTCTGGCCCCATCCAACCCAGCGGCCACCACACTGCCTGCCAGCGTGTGCCTTTCTCTTGCCCTCCCAAGACACAGCTCCTGCCAGCATCTCCTGCTGTTTTGTTCTTGGACGCCTGTTCGTAAATTTTAAAAATTGTAAGTAGTGGGGTGCCTGAGTGGCTCGGTCAGTTGAGTGTCTGACTTTGGTCATCATCTCATGGTTCATGAGTTCTAACGCAGAGCCTGCTTCGGATCTTCTGTCTCCCCCCCCGCCTCTGCCCCTCCCTCACTTGCTCTCTCTCTCTCAAAAATAAAATAAACATTTACAAAAATTATAAATAGTTGTGGAACAATCTTCAAGGGGCAGAATGGTAGAGTGGGTGCTTCTAGTCTTTGAGCTGTGGGAGGGGTTTTATTGGGTCAATAAAGGCATAGGCCCACTCCAATTAAAAAGAGGTCGGGAGGGGGTGCCTGGGTGGCTCAGATGGTTGGGCGTCCAACTTCGGCTCAGGTCATGATCTCGCTGGTTTGTGAGTTCGAGCTCCGCGTCGGGCTGTGTGCTGACAGCTCAGAGCCTGGAACCTGCTTCAGATTCTGTGTCTCCCTTTCTCTCTACCCCTCCCCTGCTCACACTCTGTCTCTCTCTCACAAATAAATGAATTTAAAAAAAGGGGGTGGGTGGGAGAAACCCCAAGCCCTTACTCCATTGACTTCAAATCGTTTTGAGTGACCTAGACCCGGAGTTAAGACCCAGATGTGCCTCTGCTTTCTCATCAGCAAGACAGGGGGGCTAACGGCGCTGACCCATAAAGACTGTTACAAGTAGACAAGGCACATACAACCCTTGGCGTGGGGCTGCCACACGTTAGTTACGATAATGAGCAGACCAACCAGCGTCTAAGGGACTCAGCACCTCACGTGTAAACCCACCTTCTGAATTCCACCCGTCTCCTCCCATAGACTTCTCCATCTCAGAAAACAGGAATCCCATCCATCCAGTTTCTGGGTCAAAAATCGTAGTCATCCTTGGCTTCTGTCTTAGAACCCACAGAAACCTTGTTAGCTCTACTACGTTCCTGACATTCAGAATCGGACGCTTCTCAACTGTTGCTAACTGGTCCCTTTGCTTCCGCTGTTCTCCCTTTGCTTCCCTCTGCTGCCGGAGGATTCATGTTCAGGGCTGAATTACATCCTGCCACGCTTTTGCTCAAAATCCTCAAATGGCTTTTACTCACACAAGCAAATGAATGAAAACCAAAAGAAACAAAACAAAAAATCTCAGGGTGCTCCCCGCCGCCCAGGAGGCAATCCGTGATCTGTTCCCAGCCACCTGCTGGCCTCGGGTCTCAGGACTCCCTGTCTCTCACTTTCTTCAAGCTGCGCGGGCTCTCCTTGATACCCCTCCTCACACCATGCCGACTCCTACCTCGGGATCTTCACAACTTGCTGGGCCCTCTGCCTGGGACGCCCCATCCCAGCTACTCTCTCTTCTCACTACCTGACCACCATTTCTGTTGGTTACTGTTTGGCTCCCTTGTCTTTCCCAGAATGGAAGTTCCCTGAAAATACAGCTATTGTCTACTTCTTCCTCTCCTAGCGTTCCAGTGCTCACACGGGCACTGGCTTGTAGTGTATGTTCAACAAATACCTGTGCAATGATTGAGTGCCCAGAGGGTGAACAGGCCTACCTACCCAGAAGTGATGCCACATGAGAGTTTCCCAGCTCTCTGGATGGAAGGCACTGTGTGAAGGCAAGGTTAAGTAACAGCATTAAGAGCGACATTCGATTCCACACGGTATACGACAAGGCTGTACCTGGACCGAGTTGAGGTGACAGTAGCCATTCAGTGGAAACCTAATGACGTGTGTCGAGTCATGATTCCAGCCTGCATTGACAGAGTTACACATCACATCGCCGATCTCTGGAAACACTTCTTCTATCAAGGATTTGTCACCGCTGAGCGTGATCCTTTCTCCGAGGTCTGGGGCGACACGCACCACTAGGCACTCGCAGGGCCTTGAAAAGCGACCAGTTTCTCTGTCCTGCTTCCATCTTTCCATCTCCAACAACATGGGCTGAAGCTGAAAATATTTTGCCTCTTCATATAACAAAGTGTAGTCCTGGCAAAACAAACAAAAAAGGTGTTTCATAGCGCAAAATACAAACACGAAGCGCTGAAGATGTCCACAGGTAAGAGGTGATTTTTTTCCACCTCTGTTACTTTGATAATCAAATCTGCGTGTGAATTTTTCACTCACAACACAACTCCACGTGCATTCATTCATTCCTTCATTAATGCATTCAGCGATGATAAAAAGAGAAAAGAGTATTAAGGGCCAGGCAGGCCCTCTTCTAAATGCTCCCCATAAATTAAACCCTGTAGCCCCCCCCCAACAGCCCTGTGGATTTGGAACCATTATTATTCCCACTGTGCAGATGAGAAAACGGAGGTGAGAAAGGCTGAAGCCACGACTTTTCTCTTTCAGTAAGGAGTGCCTCTGGGCATTTAAAATTCGTGCGGTGAGAATCCACTTTACGTCCTCCAGAAGGAGCCACATGTAGGTCGCAGTGAGGGAGGCGCAGGCGCACTATTCACGGGAAGCCCACGCTCCCCGTCACCTTCACTGGCAGCTCAGAATTTGTGGGAGGCAGGGGGCAGCACGAGGCGGGAGGGCGGCCAGAGACAGTGGCGGGAGGGCGCCTGCAGGGCACACGCCGGGCGCGGCTTTGACCTAAGCGTGGGTGCTGATCTGGGATGGTCTGGGGGAGGCGGAGGCACCGCCCTCGACGCTGCCATGCTCAAGGGACAGAGGCAGACATCAGTCCACGATCCCTGCCGGACAGATGTGCACGAAAGGAAACCCGTCCCTTTCTAAAACGACAGCCACCCACTCTTTGACTCTTGCCTTAAAACAAAATCTACTGAATTAGAACAGAAATCTGGCAAGCAGGTATTAACACACACACACACACACACACACACACACGCGCGCGCGTCACTGAATGGGAGGCCTTGGGAGGCAGCAACGCAGGAATGATGTTATCAAGCAGGTCAATACAGTCTACGCGTAGCTATGACCACAATCCTCTCCGGGTGTGAGGCAAGTGGGGCACTTGTCCGGACACGTTGACTGAGAACGTTTTAATGAGCTGACACAGGCGTGTCCGCCGTCCCTCCTCGGGCTGGAGCTGGCGGGCGGTGCCTGGTGCCCGCGGCAGAGCCGCCCTGAGAGCCTGGGGCCCGAGCGCGGCCCGAGGCCTCGGCCATCTGGATGGGATGGCGCACGGAGAGGATGACCACGGGAAAACGGGTTCTATTTGGCACTCTGCTCTTTTTCTTGCAAATTAAGCGGCAAAGGCAGCAGCGGCAGTAGCATCACGCAGGGCTTCCAGAGAAAAAAGCATGGAGAGGTGAGAAAGTCCCAGCGGGCCTCCAGCCGGGTCTTCCGCTTTCTGTGGCAGGACACCTGGGCCAGGTGAAGACGCTGCCCCAGATGCCCCTCAGCAGAACAGACCGCTGCAGTGCTCTGTCTTCTCCCGGCAATGGCATTATTGCAGGAGTCCCGGTTCCCTGCTGGAGAGGAGCCCACTGCCCTCATCATCTTCCTTGCACATCCTGGCACCTGACCCACAGGAGGTTCTGTTTGGTTTGAGGGGAGGAGAATAAAGCTGAGGTGTGGCCACGCTTAGGAAAGGACAGAAGTGAGGCCCCCTCACACAGCCTGAGGGCGGGAGTGGGGAGATGGCCGGTTCCTCCTGGACACCTGGGATCCCCACTGAAGTACATCAACCATGAGATGCTGACCTCAATCTTTTACTTACTTATCCAGATGACAGCTCTCAAGGAGATTTAAAAACAGCATTGACAGTTGACAAGCAGTAGAAATGAGAACTTCTGCTACTAACTTTTCATTTTCCTATGAGAATTAAAAATTTTAGCACAAGGCGTGCCTGGGTGGCTCAGTTGGCTAAGTGTCTGACTTCGGCTCAGGTCATGATCTCACGGTTTGTGAGTTCGAGCTCCGCAACGGGCTCTGTGCTGACGGCTCAGAGCCTGGATCCTGCTTCGGACTCTGTGTCTCCGTCTCTCTCTGCCCCTCCCCTGCTCACACTCTGTCTCTCTCTCTCTCAAAAATAAATAAACATTAAAAACAATGATAACACAAGAAAGAATCTGGACTCCAGTGAAAATGTGTCATCAAGTCTTCAAATCTGAGACTGCTTAAAGCAGTCTTAATGACCAACTTTGACCCTCTGGAGGAATCCTTTCAAACACTGCTGAATAGTGACCATTAGCCTTTGATTAAATGCTTCCAGTGATGGGAAGCTTACTATCTAACAAGGCACAGCACTGACTTTGTTGGCTGCTCTGATGGTTGTAAGTTTTTCAGTTAGAAGGACCTTAATTTCCCTGTAGTTCCAACTTACTTGTTCAGACTCTGCCATCTGGGGTTATATGATCCTCAACTTTCTTTGACCTGTTAAACCTTCAAACGTCTGAACACAACTGTTACGTCTTAGTATTATTCAGGCTGAAAACACCCCATCTTTTCAGCTCTTTTTCATTCGTTATGACTTAGAGGTCCTTCAATATCTGATGTGTGCTTGACTTTGTCAACATACTTCTGAAAACCCAAACCCAAACTGGACCTAACATTTCAGATGCGATCTGATGAGCACACTGTGAAACCTTCGCTTGGCCGCACATTCTAACCACTATTAAAGCAGCCTGCATTCATTTCCTATGGCTGCTGTAACAATCACCACACATTTAGTGGCTTAAAACCACAGAAATTTATTCTCTTACAGTTCTGGAAGTCAGAGGTCTAAAATGGGTCATTAAGGTAAGAGGTCTAAAGGGGTCTGGACACTCTAGAGGAGAATTCGTATCCTTGCCTTTTTCAGCTTGCAGAGGCAGCCCACATTCCTTGGCCTGTGGTCTCACATCACTCTGACCTCTGCTATTGTCACATCTTCGCTGACTGTGACCCTCCTGCCTCCTTCTTTCACTTGTACCCTTGTGAGTGCACTGGGCCCACCTGGATTATCCACAATAATCTCCCAATCTCAAGACCCTTAACTTAATTAATCACATCTGCAAAGTCCCTTCTGCCATGTAAAGTGATACATTCCTGGATTCCAGGAATTATGATGTGCACATCTTCGGAGAGGGGCATCATTCTGCCTATCACACGGCATCAGCCTGTATTAACTTTCTTGGCTGTCCTGTTACCCTATTAGTTTATAGTTTGCTGACTGTGGCGTCCCCATACCTTTTCCTAAGAGCTGCTACTGAGCTAGGCCCTTCTCTTTCAGCATTTGTGAAAATTTTTAAACCCTCCATTATGTATCCCTCTTTAAATTGTTGGAATTTGTCCCAACATACTGAGAAAATGTGGATTCTTTCATCCAATGTTCTGCTCTCTCTCTCTCTCTCTTATCATTTTGAGCCAGGTGTTGTGTTTCTAGATGGAGTAATGACACGGCTACATGCAGACCTTGGTTCAGGTTGATGCTCAGGTAGCAAATGAAGACTCTGGATTCTGGCTGTTCAAATAGTTATAAAACCTAGAATTCGGAGATCAGTCAGCCCATAACTGTGGCATTTGCTGGGTGTCTTGTTGAAATGCCATGTGTTTGGGTGGGACTCCAAGGGGAAGGCTGGACATGCGGGAGGGCCCAAGTCTCTGTACTGCCCAGAGATTCTCCTTAACTATTTTGGGCTCCAGTCTCCTTATCTGTAAAATGAGAGGAATCAACTCCTTCGAAGTTGCTTCCAGCCCTGATATCCGAGTCTATATCCATAACAATGTCCTGACCCACCAGTTTGTCTACCATAACCTGAAGGTAATGGGGCTAACAGGACTTGGGGTTACAGCTCCTCCAATGCTGACTCTGAATCTTCACCCTCTTTCCCCCCTGAGTTCACGAGCCACATGGGTAATCCACTCTGAGGTCTGGCCATGGCCTGACAGAGTGCCTCCCTATACGATGCTGCTCGTGGTTCCTTGTTCTCTGCTCCTGAACAATGACGGAAACACTGGCCGTTATTAGACCTTTGGCCCTGCTCAGTGATTTCTCAAGGATTCTGCCAGTGGTTACTGAAGCGAAGTTTAAAGGGGTCCCCTGAAGACCATCTTATACCCTGGGATGTATCTCACAGGGCCCGGTCTTGAACTCCTTCAGGCCACCAGGTGTTCTTTTACTCTCTCTTGACCATCTGGCTTCATCTCTTCCTTTACTGTGCTGTTCCTTCCGGTCTCTGGGGTGGAGCGCCATCTGCACCGGGGCAGCGGACGCTGGAGAACAGCCGAGCGCCGGGCTCCCCTTGGCCATCGGCCCCCCACGCTGACTTGCCTCCAAGCGTCTGCCAGCTCAAGAACTAAAAAGGCCCTTCTTGTTTTTGTTATCATTTTCTGCACGGTTAAGCTCACACTGGCCATTCGCTTTCTTGGCGGGCTCCTTTATAGTCGTCTTTCTCTACTTCCTAACACACGTTTCCAGTCTCAGCTCGTCGGAGATCGCCCCGTGGAGCCGACTCATACCCACAGCTGCTTTTCTTAGGAACCTCATCCTCCTTTCCTTCCTCAATTGGGATCATTTAATTCTACTGTCTAAATCCCGTATTTTTTAGAGTCTACCAAGTTTCTCTTTAGACCCCCTGACCTTGTGTTCATTTCCTTCTGCTCTCTGAATCTTTTGAAATCTTCTTTCCTTATACCTTGGTTCCTATCTGGCAACACCCACTGTTCCTTTCTTTGGTTGTTCCTCTAGACAACGCTGTCTCTTATCCCTAAGGTATGAGGTGGAAACGGGCAGGAGTTTATGGGGCAGCAGCAGGTGTGGCCCCAGATTTCCTTTTGAAGAAAATGAAACCCAAAACTACATTTGCTTTTCAGCAAAGCAACTGCAGAATGTACTAGATGCTGTCACTCGTCTGCCCTGCTTCTATGCCAATTTTATCTTCCCTAATTAGGAAAGTATCATCCATATTTCTTGTGTAGCCTCACATTCAGGTAGAGGGAAATAGATTATTCACAGACCTATGATCACATTTAAAGAATTTTAAAATCCTAGAAAACATATTTTTAAAATAAAAAATTTTTTGAGATTTACGATA